TCTCTAAATTTTTATTACAAAGTAGTAGGCCCAGCGGGGACGCTGGGATTTAAACAGTTGGGGTGGATGTGGCAATGTGCCACTATATAAGAGAATCCACTCAAATTTGTTTTTAAATATTCGATCGTTCTCTAAATTTTTATTACAAAGTAGTAGGCCCAGCGGGGACGCTGGGATTTAAACAGTTGGGGTGGATGTGGCAATGTGCCACTATATAAGAGAATCCACTCGCATAGTCATAGTGTGACTGCTATGGGTAACCCCAAGCACGTACACATCCATCATCCATGGTCATTCAACGTAACACTCAGCCGTGTACTGGCCTTAAATTTTATGTAGGTTATTTAGACGCGGGAATAACCATCCCTGCTACGGGGTTGACCCATGGTCAGCTCGGACGCGGGTTCCCTGTGACTGTGTGTGTGTGTGTGGGAGGGGGGGGCGAACTGGGACTTGAGGTGTGTACATTTTGGAGATTGTGGTGTGGAACGGATGCGTCGGGTCGATGGCAGGTGTGAGAGATTTTCCTGTCGGCTCTGTCAACGGATTGTACCTTACATTAAAAAGCTATAGTTATCAGACCTGATTGTTTTATTTTGATTTTATGTAAACTGTAAGCTACGTCACCACTCGGCTACAAGTGGATCCGCCCATTATTTATCTTGTACATCATGGAGAGCCTGGATTGTCATCGCCGTTCCTCCTATGGTGACCAACCTAGTGTTTCTAGCATACTGCCAACACTAGAGGTATTCCTGTAGCGGTTTAGGACAAAGCGTGCTGCTCGTCGCTGGACCGCCTCCAACCTGTCAACGCTCTTCTGGGTAAATGGGTCCCAGACTGAAGATGCATAATCTAAAACCGGACGGACAAAGGCTTTATATGCTCTTTCTTTCACACAGGAGTTGCCAATCTTTTGATTTCGCCTTAAGAACCCCAGGGTCTTGTTTGCTTGGTTACATACATTGTTAATATGCTCGTCCCAGCGGCCCTCTCTTTTAATGGTAACACCCAGGTATTTTACGGAGGAAACTGGCTCAAGTATATGGCCGTGCAGTTTGTATTGGTAGTGTAGAGGAGTACAACTTCTAGAGACTGATAGTGTATGGCACTTGGCAGGGTGAAATTCCATGTCCCAGCTCATCTCCCACTCAGCTAACAGATTGAGATCCTGTTGTAGCTGGTCCTGGTCAGATCTTTTGGCGATCGTCCTATACACTGCTGTGTCATCTGCGAACAGTCTTGCTTGTGATGTCAGTTTCTCGGGTAGGTCATTAATGTATTCTAGGAACAAACAGGGGCCTAGCACTGATCCCTGGAGGACCCCTGACTTCACATCGACAAAGGAGGAGCTTGTACCGTCAACCACTACTGCTTGGCATCGGTTGCTGAGGAAGCTAGAGATCCATGTTTTAGTGGTGCCTTGGATCCCATATATCTGGAGTTTGTGAAGAAGCAAACTATGATTCACACGGTCAAATGCCTTGCGAAGTCCATTACTAGCACGTCAGTCTGCTTGTGGTTCTCCAGATTGGTCATCAGGTCTTCTACAAATTCAAGAAGCTGGGTCTCACATGATCTATTGGCTATTTTACTGACACAAATTGTTGATGTCTAAATAATCATCTTTTTGGGACCTTAATTGTTTCGTTTTTATAATTAAGTTTAATTAACAACTTAAATGATCATTAATCATCGCAGGAGCAAAGTGACTGATGCAAAATTCACGGGGCGTCAAAAAACGGTGTTATTCATACTGCAAAGAAAACATGGTCAATAATAATAAATCTACCTTTACAATTTACAGGGATATAAGTATAAGCGAAATAATTCAATAGCCGCCCCGGCTAGCGGGGTCATCAGTGTTGGTGTCAAACGGTGCAGTAAACTCATCGTGTCTCCCCACCCCCTTCACACTCACAGACATGTGACATTACACTTTTTTTTTAAAAATGTCTTACGTGAAGCTACAGACGCACATATCGTAAGGAATGAATGCATTCTTATTGATAGGATTGGGAGAGATTCTAGTAAGCTATCAATGTCAAAACTTCAAATGATGAAAAATATTTGGATTCTTCGTGATTAATATGCTATCTGCTGCTTTCAAGTGCATTCGCAGCCTCGATGTTTCAAAGTTCACTTTTAGATAACTCTTCACAGAAAATGTTCAGTTTGTGAATGGACGCCAGTAACTCTTCTTCCGACGCCAATACCAGACTCTTGAACAAACTCAAAAAAAAAAACCCCACAAAAAAACGGGGACTCTCAAACTGCGGTCCGCGGGCCAGATCAGACTGCCAACGGCCTTTTTCCTGTCCTGGCCGCCTTACGGATACCTGGGCAGCATTGACAAATATTTAACCGGACATTGATAATCTTATGAATCAAAAGCAGAACCAAACTTTTCATTGACATACTAATAAGTTAATGTGGATAAAAAAAAATAATTCAAAATATTGTATTGTTTTCCTCTCTTTTTTGCGCTACAAAGAAGATATGTGCATATGAATTCCGAATTCGTTCTTTTATTATTTTTTTTTATACAGCCCGACCCCCTACGTTGTCTGAGGGACGGTGAACCCCTGTGGGGTCGTACATTAATTGTGCCAACGAAATAGTGGGGGTGGGGGTGTAAATGGTTGACAAGGGGTAGAGGCGGGAGTTATACTTGTTGACGTAAACAATCATGTTTTAATCTTAAAAATTGAATCGCTATTACTATTACATTATTTAAAACAAATTTAATGAGTGTAAATTAAAATAGTTTTATAATATTTAGGCTTTTAACATATAAGATATATTTAATGTTTGTCTGTGTCTGTGCACTGCTGATGGCTGGTCAGAATGTTAGCACACTTTGTTAGTGCAAGGGAAGTCAAAAGTTGGCCTCTCTTCGCTTGTAGTTGTAGATTCTGTTTGTCGCAAATGACTAGGGTGGTATGTTTGCAGGTATGTAACAAGGAAAAGGTTCATTCAAATGTCACGTGCAGTCAAGATAAATGATATTGATAGAGTAGGAATACGATATTTTCAGAATTATGGGAAAGAAAAGTGAGTAAGAATAATAAGATCGCTGCTTGAACGGATTTGCCAAATCTGTAACGTCTATTTTGCATCACAAGTCATGTTGAAATAGCAGGTTTAACAGCACCGACTGTTCATAAGAAATTACCGCCTGCTCCTAAACAAAAAAGGGATTTGACTAATGCAAGTAGCTGCCAGGAGACAGCTGTCCATTGTTACGATAGAACACCTCTAGACTACACCCTAGGAAGATGATAGTAGCTTGAAACTGTGCTAATTGTCAGCTATACTGACAATAATTATATTTGTACTTTCAAAAACAATAATATTTAGTCTTTAACGGGGGGGGGGGGGGGTCATTGAAAATTTGACAGTGTAAACAGGGGAAGGGGGTCAAAAATGGCTTTAAAATTGTTAACGTAATTAATGGACGCCCCTTTTTCAAAAAGTTTGAGGACTCCTGCACGAATATATCCGCTACACCATTAATGGCTCTTGATCTGACTCTTGAGTGCTCACCACCCCCTGCCACTTTCTTCACGACCTCCGGACTTCCTATGTTCTGGTGATACCCTGTTCTGGTGACACCCTGTTCTGGTGCCATTTCGCTCTAGTGGCACACTACTCTGATGACACCTTGTTCTAGTGATACCCTGTTCTGGTGACACCCAGTTGTGGTGATACCCTGGTGCCATTTTGCTCTAGTGGCACACTACTCTGGTGACACTTTGTTCTGGTGATACCCTGTTCTGGTTGCAACCTGATGTGGTAACACAATGCACTCCTGAAGCACTGTTCTAATGGCACTCTGCTCTTCTGACACTCTGTTCTGGTGAGACCCTGTTCTGATGGTTCCCCATTCTAGTGGTATCCCGCTCTGATTGCACCGTATTCTTGTATTTAACTAATAAAAGTTCTGTTATGAATCCGATCTCCCCCCCGGGTGAATATTTTGCTTGGTACGGAACAGCCATGTTTATTTTGTTACTAAAGCATAATTTAACTGTTAAGGAACCTTGGAATATTTGTCAACTGTCTTTCTTTGTTGAAAGCAAAACAATAGGCCTACACAATTTTACTGATTAAAAAAAAAGCTTTAAAAGCAGATAAAAACTAAGTCCCAAAGAAGTTAAATAAATAAACACCCAAAACTATAGCTCGACACGACTATTAACTATTATTACTATTTTAAATTGTTGGAAAGACGGTAGCTGTAAACTTTAATTGAATTTTTTTTACTCCTTTATCAAGTTATAAAAGACCCTAAAGGGATTTTAAACCCCTCTTTAATACAAGTTATTTGCAATACAACTGGTTTGAAAATGTTTCCAAATTTACTGAACCTCAGCAGGAAAAAAAACGGAATCGATTCCTTTAGGCCGTATGACATATTACTTAACTAAACTTCTGAGAACTCCTGCAATCCCACCGGAGTGCTGTACCAAAAATTTGAAGTTCTCTTGGCTTCACCTGCTGACTGCAAAAAAGTTGATATTGGTATCAATTATATTTGCTTTTTTATAATATTTAAGACAAGAATGTGTGCATGGAAACAAACGATTTTAGTAGACATGATCTTTTGATTATTAATTTAGACATTTTTCGTATCTGATGGATACAAAATTACACTGTCCAAGACGCATACAAATAAGGGATTAAATATCAGTAATTTATTTCATAATATAATATTTTCTTAGGTACATTAAATGAAATTCAATAACAAGTTTTCTTTGATAAAAATGGAAAATACTTTTTTAAAATCCTAACAGTCATCTTTGCTGTCTTAAACTGACCATACATGCAATTGTTACATCAAACTGACCATCGTCATACATGCAATTGTTACATCAAACTGACCATCATCATACATGCAATTGTTGCATGAAACTGACCATCATCATACATGCAATTTTTACATCAAACTGACCATCGTCATACATGCAATTGTTACATCAAACTGACCATCGTCATACATGCAATTGTTACATCAAACTGACCATCGTCATACATGCAATTGTTACATCAAACTGACCATCGTCATACATGCAATTGTTACATCAAACTGACCATTGTCATACATGCAATTGTTACATCAAACTGACCATCGTCATACATGCAATTGTTGCATCAATTTTTAAAATTTTCAAATTTTTTATTAACAAATGTTGGCATGTAAATACCAGGTTTAAAAAGGCAAATTAATGTTATTGATTCACTTGCATAAGGCACTAATAAAATCCCTGCAACTAGGGGTATTTAAACAATCATTTCCTTTCATTTTAATTTATTTTTTAAAATATAACAGCAGAAATTTAGCAAAACCTTTTTAAAACTACTTTTCAACAAATGAAATTTTAAAAGTTCTTTGAAGAGTTTCAACATTTATTTAAAAAAAATTATTTTTGCATTACTGAGTTATTTATTTTACAGTCTTTATACTCTTAGTAGCTGAATTTTGTATGATTCCAGTATTATATAAATATCAGAGCATATTATTCAATAATAGAGCAAAATAAGTCTATCACTACTTAAGAGATTGAATTAGATATTGAATTAGATATCTGAAGATATTAAAAAATGCAATCATTTTATATATTTTTAAAGAAAATTTATTTTTTTAAAAAGTTTTCAATGACAGAAAAAAAATATTTATAAAATGTGATGAGCATGGGTTGTATTAGTAACATAAATATTGGGATAATATAAAAAGGTATGTTTTTTTTTCATATGATATGCTTAATATTTTTAGATTGTAAAACGAAATGTTCCTAACATGTGTTAGACATATTTAAATCCATTAGAAATGTATGTTCAAGAGCAGCACTGTCATGAATGATCATAAAATTATTTAAAATATAACTAAAAACTGCAAAATAAATTAAAAAATTTTTAAATATTCATGAAGGAAAAATTTCAAACAAGTTTTAAAGTAGCATTTTGTGAACATTTAAAAGTCTAACGTTAACAACACTCTTCAATGTAAAACATCAGTTACAGCGTGTATGACCACATCACCAAAAAAATATGCAATAAAATCTTTCCAGTCATTCTTAGTTTCCAGTAAACCTTAGTTTCCAGTCAGCCCTAGTATTTAGTTTTATGCTAATTGAGTTAATAATCAAATTTAGAATCTGTAATCATGAATGACAAGATTATGGCAGTTTATCCATGAATTAAGTGACCTTTATTTGTTGTGATCCATGAATATCCTCCAATGGTTGTGAATTAAATATAACAATCAATTGACAATTCCCTTTCTTTGTAGGTTTAATAGTTATTTTAGCTGTAAAGTTGCTTTTGGCAGATACTTTGCTATTGAAGAGAGAAAAAAAGATAGAAACATTTGTAACAGCCATATATATATATTTATTTATTTATAATAACCATTCCTCATACTTACTTTGTGTCTGATCTATGTATTTCAAAATATATAAGATATCCCAAATTTTTCCTTTTAAGCCTTAAGCTGACCAACCAAAATTATTATTGGATCAGTAGCAATGAACCAATTCTGAGCTGGTTTAGAGTCTCTTGCACTTTGTATTTCAATGTGGTATAATATAGATTGTTTCATTTCTCTTTTAATATACTAGACTCTGTACCGCGCTTCGAGCCTTTGGGGATGAAGCCTGATTTTCAAATTAACTATATTATTATTATCATTTATGTAATCTGTCAGGTGTCGATTATGGGAGTTCATTAATAATTGTTGCAACTGAATATTATGTTTCATTACGCACTGTGTGTGTTTGAGAGTTTTATTGGTTAGTGAATGTATTTTTATGCTCAATATGAGGTATTGTCTAGTCTGTTTTGTGAGTAAGTTTTATTGGTCTGGCAGTCGTGAATGGAACTTTGTAGGAGTATGATGTGTTTTATTTCTGTCTGATAGCCCTGCGCTATATTCATATGTGTATGGAATTTAGTCTATGTATATAAGTAGATATTAAAGTTAGATTTATTATAAAAAGGACTTGAGCTGATTCCATATTAGTACGATGTATTACAATGTGAGAAAGAACTTGATGGCTTAACCATTCTAGTAGAACAAGAAGTTGACATCAGGCAAAAATTCTTCTCAAATGGAGACTTTAATTATTTGACAACTTGTTACTTGGCTGACAAATATTATTTCAGTGGATCAACCTTAAGCCATGAAATGAAGTTCCTGAAGTTATAAAACAACAATTTATACCAACCTTTGAGAGATTTCTCTTGATTGTGCCAGACCATCTACTACAAGGAAACATTTTGTCAGTGGCTGGTTCAGTGGGTTGGTGAAGGAAACCTCAGCATCAAATTCTTCACCCAGTTTGACACTAGAAGGAGCCTTAAAGACAATGTACAGAAATTGAGGTAGAATATGCACCAAACGGCATAAGATATTTTGTTAAATGAAAATGCTTTTCAGTGCTTCTGAGTTTGACATTTTCATGGAGCTAATAAATGAACATTATGTTGATATTATTTCAGAAATAAGTTAACTCTACATACATCTGTGTTACCTTAATGGCAAGATTTGGTTTGAGTAGTCTAAAGTCCTCCTTTTTAACAAAATATTGCTCAGTTTCTTTGACCACAGCCCAGATGGTGACATCCAGCATACAACAGTCTCTAAGTTTAGCAGAGTAGTCTCCTTCTTTTGCTTCAATCTCAATTTCTTTGGATAAAGAGGAATTGTTAGACAAGAAAATCTTAATCATTTTAAATCCAGGTTTGCAATACATTGGGAGGCTGGATTTTTTAACACTTTGAGCCTCAGACAAACTGATATCAAACAAATTGACATAAAACAAACTGACATCTAACAAATTGATCTTTGCAATGTTTATTACTAATTTTACCAACTCAATTCATCCTTACTAAATAAGCTCATACAAAATAATTATAATAATGTGCTTCATTTCTATTTAAAGCTATGTATTTTAAAAAATCTTATTGCAACTGATTTTTTGAACTTTGAAAAGTTTATAGGCATAAAATACTTCACTATAAAACTTAATTTTAGGCAATAACATTTATAAAATTGTGTGTTTGTCTTTGTTTTAGCTCTCTGCATTTGGTCTTGTCTTATTTTTTTTCAACATTCTGATCACACTCATATTCCATGTTCAAATCCACAACAGAGCTGACATAACCAATTTATGAAATTTTTGCGTAACTACCTTAACATTGTATAATGACCATTTTTTTAAAACGTATAACAAAACAGGCAGATATTTTGAGATAGTCAGGAAAATCAAACTGATATTATCAAGTTCACATGCTGGGTCACTCATTTATCTAACACAAACCTATCTTACCTGGGTTAGAGCTAACATCAACGTCGGTGAATACCACAGATTTGACCAGGTCGGCCAACACACCAGTGTAGTACATTGTCCTGACTTCCATTCTGCCACTGACTGTCCTTTTGTTAGAAGTTTTATTGCTCATCTTGAGTTTCAGTTGAAAGTTGTCACCTACGAGTGTCTCCTTCCTATCTTGAACCAGATTGAAATCAACATCCTAGAGAAGATGACCCGTATTAGATTTTTATAGTGTCTATATTTAACTAGTAATTTTTAATGAGCAGACTATCAGAAATGTATCATAATTTTATAAAACAATGTCAGTTTATTGTAACAAACAAATTATTTAACATTTTATAAATGCAAGACTAATAATATTATGCATCTAGACTAGCAATATTGTTGATTTAAATCTTAAAATACAAAAGACCAAATAAGTCAAATTTAATTAAAATTAAATATAAAATCTGTAATGATTGATGGCAAAGTGTTGATATTTTACTAATGTAACATACACCGGGTTTTTGCTTGTAAATATCTTTTCTATTTGAACCTGTTTGGTTCGCTCTAAGAACAGCTGCTCTTTCCTCTGCAGATCCTGAGAGAAGTAGTCAAGATTAAGTTTTCATTAAGAAAAAACTTGTATTTTGTCATTTTTATTTTTATCTGGATTAATCATACACAATTTGTGTCAATAAAACAATACATGTTAAGCTTTAATCATGATTATACAGAATACAAATGCAAACGTTTTGGCAAATGCCTTCATCGGCACAACAAATAATTTTTTTTTTTTTAAATTCATAATATAAGTAGGGCCTATAAATTAAATTTACATAATATTTATATATATCCTACCTAAAAATGAAAGAATAGAATAAGAATGGGTACAAAACCCTGATAAAAAACAAGCTAAGTACAATGGAGAGGAAGTGGGTGGAAGTAAAATTTAAAAACCAAACAGGAAAAAAACCCACCACAGCTATGCAACATTTCTCCCCTATTCTTTTGTGACACAACTGACATCACATGTTGGCGATGCAGTCACAATAACTATTTGACAAAACAAATACCCACTAGAGATGTGTCTAACGTCTAAGATAACATTGACATGATTTGATGATTGAAAATACACTGAAATGATGACAAGCCTATAAATATATAATCAAACTCACCCTCTTCTGGTTTATAATTACTTGTTACATCTTCTCTTTCATTGGAGTTAGCTGCCTTTGTACTCATCTTTTTACCAACACTTTGAAGGTCCAATAAAATAAAAGTTATATATAATAATATTCTATGACTGATTCTTGAGATTGCAATACTGAAAGTCAAGATAATACCATAACCCTGCTAATTTGTCAAAATCAATAATACTTCATAAATAATTATTCATTATTGATTGGAAGGTCATCTCATTATTATATGTCAAAGGCTAACAAAGTAATCTCACCTGCCACCCTTTGAATATCCATGAAATATATGTCAAAGGCTAACAAAGTAATTTCACCTGCCACCCTTTGAATATCCATGAAATAAATTAAAGTGACAAATTCTATAATTAACCCAGGGATTCCTTAGTATCAAAGCAAGATAGACGTAGGTTGATTTGGCTGTGAAGGTGTGTGTGTGTGTGTGGGTGTGTGTTTCTGGGGGAGGGGAGATTACAAACTGTTTGTTCCAATAAGCTTTTTTATTTTAACATTGTCCTCTACAATCTAAATAAGTGAATTACTGATTGATATTTTGCTGCAATTTTTCTCATCAGTTAATATTTTTTAAAATTATGAATTCTTTACAACAAGAGATATGCCTGTAGTCAAGTAAAAAACCTACGCATTTTTGTCTATACTGATACACTCCCATTGGCCCAATTTGTTTTTCTTCCAATGCACACGGTCAGCATTTACTTCAGCAAACACAAATGGGCCATCATAAGGCAATGTAACTTCTCCCAGCTTAATAGCAGCCACTGGAACAGGTCCACAGCAGTAAACACCTGGAAGGAAATATCAAGCAAATATGTCATTAAATATGACAGATATGTCATTAAATATGTCATTAGAAACATTAATAAAAGGATGAATTAGCATACACGTGTTCTAGACATCTGGAGCATTTAATGAAATAAGTCACACTTATCAATCATCACTTTTAGAAGAGTCACAGCATTTGTCAGCTGGGCACCTTCTGGATTGAATATAATCGCCCCAGCCCTTTCTTACCATTTATGTTAGAGATCTGATTCAAAATTTTGGTTATTGAAAAGGTCAATTTTTAAAGTTGTAAGAAAAAACTAGAAACAGCAAAGCTCAACATAATCCAATGACAGAACTCTTCACTACTTTTTTTATATATATCAAAATATCAGCCTCTGACTGCTTTGCACCTTCTGAAGTTTCCTGAGGTGTTGCATCAAATGCCTGCCAGCCACCATAACCAGATGTGAGTTCAGGTCGTGACATCCAGGCCTCATTCCACACATGGAAGTTCCTGGGGAATGTGAACGTGACAAGTTCAAGATGTTTTAAAATGGTGGGAATATGATGGGAGATATATCTCGGGGGTAGCAACTGGATACAGGAAAAATCCGACAGGAGGCCAACAAATGAAATCTAAGGTGGCTTTTAAGGTTCCTTAAAATTTGTTTCACAGCGTTTGTTTCATGGAAGATTTACAGTTGGAATACAGACAAAAATTCCCAATGGAATGTATCTGTCACTGGACATGATCAAGCCATCCTTTGGCTTAACCAATGATGCGTAACATTTTTAGTTTCTAGTCTAAAACTAAGGTTCCATTATTGTGGGTTACAAATACACCGCATAAATTATGTCTAGTTACCATACCGGTTACAACTACACTGCATAAATTATGTCTAGTTTACCATACTTAAATAACTACCAGATGGAGTCATTTTTGACTGAATCATCAAGTTCCCCTTTACTGGTGTAGTGGAAGTCGATGGTGATGGAACCATCTGAATCATGGGCAGACTGGAAGTTGGAAACACTTCGTGCTGGAATCCCAAGTGTACGACAGACTGTGACATACCAAATTGAGCAGAGGTTAGACAGTGGTTTGGAAAATATTATACAAATCTACTGCAATGTGCACAAGAATTTTCATTTTTAAGTGCGTTCAATGTTTTTTTTGTGGTTCAAAGAAAGTTTAAATGTACTCTTACTGGTGGTAGATAACCCAGAGAAAACCCAACATTGGCCATATTTCACTGGACGTTTGCTTTTCCAAAATTCCTCTAGAATGGCAGCTGAGCCTGTCCAAGATAAGGGAGACCGTCCATCTGAGTAATCACCTGACCAGTTGCCAGTTAACACACCACTGTCATCAGCTGAATTCACCTTAATATACAGTAGTATAGAAATAAAATTATTAAAGTTTCCTTTAATTTGAGCAAAATTTATCCTTGGAACAAGGCTTAGAAATGGTGAAATTTTGCTAGATAACAAGTAAGAAATTCCATAAGCTTCAGTATTAGTAGACATTTCTTACATTACCTGTAAGTTACATTTCAGGCAATTTAATACATTTAGAAAAATGGTTTTCTTTAAAATTTGTAGGTACTATCTGCAAAACCCCTTTAAATACAATATTCATCAAACTTTAAATCAAAATTTAATTGTTTTTAAAACAAACTAGCAGAGTCATCTCCACACCCTAGAATATATTGTATATCATGCACAGTACTTAACCATAGAGATTATCTAAATTTAAGCTTCATAGTGAGCTCACCAATGCAGAGATTTTTCTCACTACAGATACAGGGCTCCCTCTAACAGGCCATTTGAGCTCGGAGCTGTCCAAAAGGTAGATTGCCACTTCTAGAACACAAGATTCAAACTGTGGGATAAAATTATAAATAAAAGACCAATTACTATGTCAAAATCAGAATCTAATAAAAGAAATAAAACAAAATTTTTTTTTTAACTGGTTCCGTATATTACAAAGATTTATTTTCTTTTATAATGAAAGTGAAAGAGAGAAAAGATTTTGAAATTGCCAGTAAATATTTAACTTTTTATTACGGTAATTTGTTTCTCAACTTTCCGTTGAGAAGGTTAACATTTTATAATAAACAATGAATACTGTATGAAGCTGTATGTACCACAAAACCATAATCATTTTAAACATATGGCTGTAAAACTTTAGAAATATGGCTTTATGACATCAAATATATGGCTTTATGACATCAAACATAGGGATTTAGGACACTGTAGGAGTCTTAAAATAGCCTGTGGTTAAAAAAATGTTTATGGACAATCAATATACCACAAGATAATAGCATTTAAAATATCACGGGAACAGTGTTGATTTGATCTTGGGAGACATTGCTTACCTGGCCAAAGTTCCAGGGTCTTGGAGCTACAGCACTTTGACTTCCATAATAGATTTGTCCTGTCTCATTGAGCACATATTCCTTGAGGAGGTTAGCGTCAGCCATGTACACAGTGTCATCTTGAAGAAATACACAAATGTTATGGGGAGAAGCCAATAATATGGGGACAGATCAATCATATTGGACATAGCAATAGTGTGACATGTCATTATTATAGGGTAGATGGCAATCAATTTAAATGTCTGGACGTCTTTAGAAGATCACTTGATAATTTCTTGTAACAAAAGAATGACATTTTATGAATTCTGAATCAAAGGAAGACAAAAGTGGATATTTTCGATAATTTGAATGAGAAAAGTCACATTTAAAAAAATTTCATACGAGAAGAATTTATGTAATCAATAAATTACTTTGAAGGCAATTCGTTTGAAAAATACCATTTCGCCAAAAATTTACTAAACTTTGACTTCTAATATTTTTTTTTCTAATTTGAACAATTAGACTTTTTAGTTACTGTGATTGGGAAGTTTTTACATCTAAAATAACCTATTTCCTGCAGTAAATGTTGAATTACCTTTACACCATGGGTTAAAGATGACATAGATTGGATCTGCAAGCTCCAGTCTGTAGATGTTGGAGTCTCTGACAACATCTATCTTTACATTCCATTTTCCAATAAAACAAGATGGTGGTGCTGTGATGGAAACTTTCAAAGCCTTGTCCTATAAAAAAAAATGTAGCAATAATCATAACACTTATTTTTTAAATGATTTAACAGGCTGTCAAAATTTAATATTTATCTAAATAATATAAGTTACATGTTAACATACACAGACAATCTGTGAGAAAATCGTCACTTGGAATAAAAAAAATCCAGAAAGTTTATAACCTCAATAAATCTTTAAAGTGTATGCCTACTTTTTTAGACTTTATTGACGCTTTCCATTCTTTGGTCCCATCTTCATCGTCTGGTGTAATTTCGACACTTGTTCCTTTAGTTGCTAGTGGTTTCTTGCCTGCATTGAATAGATAAGATCTTGTTAGTTATAGTATCATGACAATTTCATTTCTTAAAAATTGTTTTAAGATTAAATTAAGTATTAAGGAAATTGTTTGGTTTTGAACTGTTTTTTTTTTTTCTTTGCTTGTAAATTATGAGTTTTGCTGAAATCTAAAATAAACAATTTAAGAAAAATCATATCTGCCTTTCTCGAAGGTTTAAAAGTAGGCTACTGAAATCATTATATACTTATTTTACAAAGACTACATTAAAAGTCAATCTTCTACTACACTAAGTTCTAGCCAAAAATGAAGTGTGTAAATGTAAAACATACCAGTCTCAAAAATAATTTTTAAGCCATCCGACTTTTCATTGAAATCTTTTGAAAACTCCACATCAATGACAAATGGCTGACCTCTCCTGACAATAAGTTTGGTTTTTGCGATAGAGAAGGCGTATTTGTTGGTGTGGTGGAGCTCGGAGTTATCTTTGATGTTCAGTTCCACCGATACTGCTGTCAAGGTCGTCTTGGGGTCAGGATCTGAAAGAACAATAAATTAGAAGGTTTTACATTTCATTATAAAAGGAATTCAGTATTTTGTTGCCTTAATTTAATTTTAATGGTTTTACTTTACCTGTAGGCCATATAGGCGAATGACTGGCTTTACGTGTAGGTGATATAGGCGAATGACTGGCTTTGAGGTGTAGGGGATATAGGCGAATGCCTGGCTTTACGTGTAGGTGATATAGGCGAATGACTGGCTTTGAGGTGTAGGGGATATAGGCGAATGCCTGGCTTTACGTGTAGGTGATATAGGCGAATGACTGGCTTTGAGGTGTAGGGGATATAGGCGAATGCCTGGCTTTACGTGTAGGTGATATAGGCGAATGACTGGCTTTGAGGTGTAGGGGATATAGGCGAATGCCTGGCTTTACGTGTAGGTGATATAGGCGAATGACTGGCTTTGAGGTGTAGGGGATATAGGCGAATGCCTGCTATTTGCAATAGGTGAAATAGGAACAGATAGTAACAACCAATTTAAGGCTTAGCGAGAGTACTGGAAGAGATTCTAGGAAGTCCCATTCAGCTATGAATTTCAAAACATCAAATAGGCCTACTGACCAGTACGTGAATTTGTGAATATCAGCTGCCTTTAGGTGTCTTACAAGCCTTGGACGCCTTGGTAGTTCTTTTAAAAGTTCATCTTCTGATAACTCATCATAGAAAGAGGTTTATTTTGAAACGGACACCAATAACTCTTCTTCACTTGATAGTAGAATCTTGGGCTGAAAATCCCCAAATTATATATCTGCCACTTCCCTGACGATCTGATCTGGCGATCAGAATTGAAGCGATCAATAGATTCCAGCATCTCTACCTTTTTTTTCTTGTAGAGAGAGTTCATCTATTAATTGTTCTCTTGCCATTCTCTTCATTAAACTTTTCTTTCTATCGAAATTCCATATGGGTCTGGTGTTAAAAGTGCCTTTTCAACAGTATGTTCCATCAAGTGACAGCGCTTCTCATACAGAAACAATCTTAAGGTCTTTATATTGGTCACCACTTTGTCAAGAGTAAAGCCTTTAATCTGCAAATACCGGTAGGCCTACTGCTGTGTAAGATAACCTTCCTCAAGTAGATCAGCACAAAGGTAAAGGTAGCAGATAAACGTGAAATTACAGACAGCATGTAATCGACCTTGTGCTGTATGACAGTCGTGCTCTAATTGTAAGGTGCGGTGGTAGTGACGAATCGGAGAAAATATTCATTTTGAATATTTTTGGGTTGTGATATATTTGGTTTTCTAAATCTTTTTTTTTTTTTTTTAAAATCTAAATTAAATATTAAAAGATATTAGAACATTTTGTAAAATATATTGTTAACCATATAAATGGGTGAAAACTCATGTTTTAAATGTTTTTAATGTTCACCGATTCGATCCAATTACTTAGAATCGCCCGGCCACATCGTACTTGGTATCAATGGAAAGCTTTATTTCTCAGAATTTAGATAAATATAGTCCTCCGGTCACTTACGAAAGTTACTGAACACTTCAATCGGCGGTGAATGGTCAATGGACAGACGATGAAACGAGAGAGCTCGCTCAGTGACGTGTGTAAACATAATACGCTGGACAAGATGCAAATGCCAGTAAAAAGAAAAAATTTAATAAAAACATGACTTCATTCTTTCGTTGTTTTAAGATACAGTATCCATGAAAAGAACGAACACAGAATAGTTTTGCTATGACAGAAGTAGTTCAGCATTTTGCTGACAGACGGTTAATTAATAGATACTCTTACAATTTTATAAATTTAATACATTTTTTTTTTCGGTAACCGAGAGAGCAAGTATTCCTTGTGCATCTTAAAAACAACAATTGAATATAAAAATACTTAACACTGTCATAAACATACCAGTTTAAGAGTTTGAGTTTAAGTCAATTTAGACAATAAATATATTATATAAATATACAGATATACATTAATAAAGAAGGTTCATTACGCATTTCTGTCCGTCCCCCCGTTGATCTGCACGTCGACATGTCTGTAGTCTGTAGTGGAATGGCCGATGAAGTGGCGCTACTCAGGGGACATCACCACCGTGGGTGGACATGCGTGGGCAGTCAGAGGGCATGCATTGTTTGTACCAAAATGAAGCAACTGCAATGCAAACTGAAGCCTTAGCCAACCGTGGCACGGTCTGCACTTGAAATATAGGTAGAAACAGGGTAAGGGGTCATGATTATCTCGTGGCCGTTAACGAATATGTGACAGGTCCTGAAAGTCTCGTGCCAATGATTCTATTATACGGCCATGTGGAGGCGAGGCTGTGCGTAGGCAACCCAATGTAGAAACTCTATTAGAGGGTGTCTGACGCCTCGTCGGTGTGGGTGTGGGGGGGGGGGGTGGAAGATATTAGAATGTTAATGCTTCCATACCAACCATTAGGAAAGACGTTTGTTAGCGCTTTAAACCCACGGCGCTTTGGTTGGGCTGAACCCGGCTTGCCTAGTCCAGTGGTCGGCAAATCGTCGCTCGCGGGCTGCATGCGGCTCGTTAGCGACCTGAGTGCGGCTCGGCCAGTCGATGACCCTGCGGGGGTTGACTCTGATAATCATGGTTCTTCACAGATTTTTGAAAGAAAATTTGGCTCTCAAACAAATTTTAATCGCACCTCTGCTGATTTTTTGGCTCTTTTCACCAATGAGTTTTCCGACCACTGGCCTAGTCAGCCGAGTGAAGCAGCGGGTGGAGGGTTTTCTATCGAGGGGGAGTCCCCCAACGGGCCAAATTGGGATGCTTTGGGTAGGGCATTGATAGCGTCAGCTCGACGACCCACTGATGTCATTTCCTAAAGAACACATTGCACATATGTTTTCTTTGGATTCATGCTTCAAGATGACTAGCACATTTAGTTACTTATAGCAAGTCAAAATAGAAATCTGTTCAGAGGTTATGGTCACGGGTGGCACAATCAATTTTTTTTTAAAGGCCGGCACCGGATATGATAAAAATAATACATTTGTCAGACTTTAGATTTTCTCGGTATTGAGGGTGATCATAAGATGGTGATAAGATGGTCATAAGATGGTCATAAGATGGTCATAAGATGGTCATAAGATGGTCATAAGATGGTCATAAGATGGTCATAAGATGGTCATAAGATGGTCATAAGATGGTCATAAGATGGTCATAAGATGGTCATAAGATGGTCATAAGATGGTCATAAGATGGTCATAAGATGGTCATAAGATGGTCATAAGATGGTCATAAGATGGTCATAAGATGGTCATAAGATGGTCATAAGATTTATGGAATAAGATGTCTATGATATGATATTTCAATAAAGGTTTTTTAAAAAAAATAGCCCTACCTATGATAACAAAAGCAAAGATTCCTACCTATGATAACAAAAACAAAGAGTCCTACCTATGATAACAAAAGCAAAGATTCCTACCTATGATAACAAAACAAAGAGTCCTACCTATGATAACAAAAGCAAAGAGTCCTACCTATGATAACAAAAACAAAGAGTCCTACCTATGATAACATTAACGTTAGAGTCTCTCCGATCGGTCGGCTGCACCCAGCGTCCTGTGTCCGGCTGCACATGCGTACTTCCACATATGCTTGCTCCTGCTCCCATCTCAGACCAGACAAGTTGGATACCCGGTCAGAGCAGACAAAACCCTGTAAAAGACAGGTTGAATACCCTGACAGACCAAAAATACCCGGCCAAAGACAAGTTGAATACCCTATCAGGCTAGACAACAACCTGTCAAAGACAAGTTGTATACCCTGTCAGACCAGACAACATCCTGTCAAAGACAAGTTGGATACCCTGTCAGACCAGACAACAGCCTGTCAAAGACAAGTTGGATGTCCTTTCAGACCAGACAAGTTGGATACCCCAGATTATCTTCAACTTACTACGTCATATAATGTCTGCAATCATTTGATTTCTTACCCAATGCTTCTCTAAAGTCATCTATTTGATAAATAGTTCATTACATATTTGGTCCACCTGATAAAGCCGTTGTAGAGCTAATTGAAAAATTAATGTAACCACGGAGATTGCCGTATCAATAATGATTTTACGTTGACCAGCTTGTGTTATTTTCTAACGTGTGATCGAAGAAAACATTACTCCAAAGGTTTCCACTACCTACCAACACATGCTTTGCCTAATTTTAACGATCTATACATTATACTTTCTGAAATAATACAATCATGCATAAATATCCAGATAAAAAGTATGTTGTAGGTTATCCAGACATGGGTTAAGCATTAATCAATGGTGCTCTCATATTTAATGAAGAATGATGCAAAACTAAATTCAGGTATGTGTCAAAATGTATCCTTGCATTTTGAATTTATCAAAAGTTTTCTGAGGATGGGCTCAATGATCTCCCTCCCAGACACCTCCACGACCCCCCCCCCCACACACACACAAACAAGTTGACCTGCTGTGGGAGTCTTCGGACCTGAGGCTATTCCATTCAAATGTAATTAGAATAAAATTGTATACATATAGTTATTATAATTACCTATTTTAAGGATATTGCAATATATTTTCACCAGGCAACATACAGTTGACTATTTCATTTGTAGATGTTTACAAGCATCAATAGTTTGTAAAGTAAAGAGTCAAAATCCCCCACGTCGACGACAAACCATTGATGATTGTAAATACCTATACAAACAAAGTCATAACTATTAACAGGCACGTTTGGAGATTATCCGAGAAAGCTTTCACATTAACAGCAACAACTTATGTTGTCCAATTCCAAGTTCTGAAACTGTCTCATATTGATGAAGGAAATGAATGTTTGGGAAGATGTCTATTTACAACAACAACAACAACAACAACAACTACAAAAACTCTGACTATTCTCACTCAAATCTTTTCATAGAAATACAAAGTTGAAATTAATATATTACCTTATGGAGAGAGGAAAAAAAGTCAAAGTCTTGATGACAGAATGGAACCAACTAAAGTGAGAACGTGCCATTGAATTCACGAATGTGTCCATTGATGTCGATGTAAACAAACAACCACACACACATGGTTACAAGGTGTGCTGAGAGGATACCTTTAAAAGATATCCGTAACCCGTTGAAAAGGGAATTGATTTGAAATCAATCGATACTAAAACCGGCAGACCATATTCAAAAAAAATGCGTGGAGTACTTTTAAACCCACTCGTTTATGTCGATCGGGAGTCAATGGACCGAATCGATACGTTGCACTCAGCGGGGCATGGACAAGGCCACCGCCTACAAACAATCAGGGCTGACGTCAGAGGGCAGGGGAATAACCTTTGAAACATAAGTTATCTCCCTCCTTGTCATTTCCTCAAATTCAAGAATCCCTATTTATAGTTCATCCTGGTGGGACTGACGTATGAGAAATCATTCAGCTGGACTGGGCAACACTATCACCACTCAAAAATTGTGGCCAAAAGACCACTTACTAACACACATATTCTGGTGAGGGTCTGAGATTACTGTCTTATGACCCCGGCTAGTAAATTGGCTATCAACTCCATCTGTTGAGCTGAGCCATACAACATTTTCCTCACAAAGGGTCCTCCTACCGCCCTGGCTTCCCCCGGGAGATCTAGTGAGGGACATTCGGTCAACAGGTGCTCTATAGTCTCCGGGGCAAGGCTGCAATGCCGGCAGGTAGGATCCCTGTTGTTATCCAGCCGCCAGAAATATGTGCGCAAGGGGTAGTGCTCGGTGCGCATCTGCGTCACTAAGCTCTGCTGTCTGCGGCCTAACCCCCACCATGGGTCTTGTTTGCTAGGAGTGGGCAAGTTTGAATAGACGCCTATGGCGGTCGTGTTGTCTGCCCATTGCCTGTACCACTTCTGCCTGAAGTGGTCCACCAGACAGTTTTTAATTCCCAAATAAGTCATTGGTACTACTGGCTGAGGCTGGGCAGCCCCGGTTTTCGCCAGAGTGTCCGCGCTCTCATTGCCACTGATGTTGACCTGGCCAGGTATCAATTGTATTGTTACCTTGCGTCCTAGTTCACCAATTTTGCACACGTCATTGGTGATGACGTCGACCAAGTGTGTGGTACCCTGTCTCTTCCCCAAGATCTCTAGAGCAGATCTTGAGTCTGAGTAGACAACTACATCGAGCCCCGCATGTTCCGTCCCCTTCAATGTGTCATGAATTCTCTCCAAGGCCCTGTGTGTAGCCATGAGCTCCGCATCGAAATTTGATGCTGCAGTCCTACAGGGTCCAGGGAGTTCTTCTGTTGGTGGTCCTACTGCTGGATACAGTATGAGCGCACCGTACCCAGCAGTTCTTTCTCTCAAGTTGGCAGAGCTGTCCGTGAACACATTCACTGGTATGTTTGCGAACACATCCATGGTCTCAAGGGCAGCCGCTTTCTGAACATGTTCAGGGCTACGTTTCGTCACTGCTGCATCGGTCAAGGCTAAATGTATAGAGGAACGTGAGGGTTCCGCATATGGCGGATTAACTGGTATAAGGGTCAGACTTTCTCTATTTTGGGGCAGGGCGACTGTCCTTTCCAGCTCCACGACCTGGTAAATGAAAGAGGACCTCTTTAGTCACCTGCCGCCAACCCAGTTATTCTGCATTTGGAGGGCCGGTTCGTTTTTGTCCAGCCGCCGGTACCTCTACACGGTACTTAATATTGATTTTTCCCTCCTGATTTGTAGCGGTTTTACATTGGCCAAGACCTTTGCAGCAGCTGTGGATGTGGTCCTGAAAGCGCCACAGATAAATCTCAGAGCCTGATTCTGGATTCGGCCCAGTTTTTCCAGTGCGGTCTTGCTTGCAAAGGATTGTACTGGCATGCTGTAGTCCATCACCGACCTTACACTGCTTAGGAAGAGAGCTCTAAGCGTACTTGCGCCCGCGCCCCAACTTTTGCAAGCCAATTCTTTCACCAGATTGAGCCCTGCGGTTGCCTGGCAGCAGAGGTCTTGTACAAAATTATGCATTTGCACCTTTTGATCCAATTTGACTCCCAGGTAAACCGGTTACTTGTCCCATTTGAGCGCTACATCGCCCACATTGAACTCGATCTCCTGTTTGAGAATGGTCCGCTCGTTGGTAAAGAGTGAATAGACCATCTTCTCGGTGTTGATTTCCTGGTGCCACCGTCGCATGTACCTGTTGATAGCAGAAAGATCTTGCTGTAATAGCGTTTGCAGGAGGTGGACATCCTTACCGGTACTCCAGATAACCAAATGGTCGATATTCATAGCAGCACTGGTTGCTAAAATTTGTGGCAGGTCATTGATGTATGCAAGGAAAAGAGTGCAACTGAGGGCTGACCCCTTGCGGGAGACCTTCCTCAAGGGTTCTTTTCCTGGAGGTTTCACTGCCGAAGACCACTGAAGGAGGCAAATGGACTACTGAATGATGCGAATAGACCACTGAATGAGGCGAATGGACTACTGAAATATTACATTAAGAAATGGCGTCAGCGGGCCGTCGAGCTTGCGCTCTTTATGCCCTCCCCGAAACACCTCTCCCCAACCCGGTATCGGGCCGCGGAGCGGCACGTCGGGGATGTCCCTTAGTCAGGACGGCCCCCACCCGAGTCTGCTCGACCAGGTCTCCGCCGGGGGCCGTCCTAACCCAAAGACACCCGGTCGGTCCGACACTGTGTTTGCACACAGTGCACAGGATCGACTTTCTCAGGAGTTGGGATGGAAAAATTTACGTCCTAATATCTTCCCCCACCCATCCCGGGGAAGCGTTAGACGCCCTATAAGAGGGATTCTACAGTGGGTTTCAACAACGCAACTAATTCGCGATGCAGCTGGGACGAAACGGTTGCCTTGGAGCAGCTTCTCAGGGCTGTGTAGTAAGAATCATCGGCCAGAGGTTACCATCTTCGCCTCTCGCCTCATATCCATTAACGGCAACTTGTAATCATGATCCCTACCCTGTCTCCGCCTATGGACTACTGAATGATGCGAATGGACAACTGAATTAGGCGAACGCACCACTGAATTAGGCGAATGGAACCCTTAATGAGGTGAATTTATCACTGAATTAGGCGAACGGACCACTGAATTAGGCGAACGGACCACTGAATTAGGCGAATGGACCACTGAATTAGGCGAATGGATCACTGAATTGTTGTTGGAGATTTTAAGGCAGAGATGAAAATAGCTCTAAATGTTCAGACTTAAAGCGCTATTTTATTTTCTTCAAACAGAGAGTGGCGAATTTCCGCCTTAAATGTGTTTGGTTAGGAAGATATGTTGTCTACCCATGTCCAAAAAAATGGAAAATTCTGCCCTCAAATTTCTAATTGAAATTCTTTGTACTTTGTATAGCCGCTGTCAAATGAAATAAATCTAAAAGTGTGTGTGCAAGCGACATTATTTCTTCATTTTTTTAATTTTTATTTTTTTTGGACATAAAATGCTAAGTAAAAGAAAAGCACACTCATCACCGTGCTATGACTACGAAAATGTGTAATTGAAATTAAAGTTCCATAATTCAAGTAAAAATATCCAACTCCAAAATACTAGGTTCTGTTTCCTTAGAGCTGTAGACTTAATCAAACGGTGCGTGGAGAATTTGACACCGACATTATTGATTGACAAGTTAGTTTGTGTTTGAACGTGTGAAACGGACACAATGAACATCAATCAAGGGTAACGGGAGCCCATGATCCCAATCATACTCAATTACGCCCAAACATGGGCGCCCGCACTTGCACCCCCCTCCCCC